TCCCAAAGGGAGTATTTATAGAGAAAATACGGGCTGGGCTCCCAAGCCTTGGGCTTGGGAGGCCCATTTACAACTGGACCGCTACTGGGCCGAATACAAAGCCGCTAATGGGCTGTACAAATGAATAAGTATAAAATCCGGTTCTGAGAGGTCCTTGTGGCCGACGAGGGTGTGGCCGACGAGGGCACGACCGACGAGGGCACGGCCGACGAGGGCACCCGAGTTCCTTGGGCTCAGGACCATAATCTGAGTTGGCCCCTTTTCGGCCGACGGGGGCGTCTTGGCCGACGAGGGCGCCACTCTGTGTCTTGTGCTTTCTGTTCTTCCGAGTATGTGGGTCCAGGGGCTCAGACCCATATACTCCATCAAGTTGTTTGTCATTTTCATACTCACCTCAAACTCCTATACTCATTTAAGGTGAAACCTAAACACAAAATCAGTGGTTTTAGTGATTCAAAACAGAAAAAAACATTTGACTCGAAATGAGTAAGCTTGAAAGCAAAAGTTGAAAACAAATTTAATATTTTACGTAGCAGAAAGAAGATGTAGTATTTACAAAGGGGTTTTGGTTAAACTTGGTGTTCAACTATCTACTATTCCTTCAGTTTGCCTTAATCAAAGCATAATACAAGCAAAATTCTAGTTAAAATCACCGTAAAATGAACAAATTAAATGGGCAGGATAGGAATGCTTTGAGTAAAACGCTTTGAAACTTTTGGGGAGTCTCAAAGGAAGTGATCGAGCTTGAATCCCTAGTTAGCATGCCATTTACATTTTTTTGTTTTTAATAAATGTCCTACAAATAAGAAGAAAACACAAAGAGTGAGTTTATACAAAGAGAATTTTAATAAATCAAAGGGCTTGCATGTGTAGTTTACGTCTGCTAGAGAATTTTAAGAGAAAATAGATAGAAAACACGATAATGAGGGCAACCGAGGCACTGAAGTCTGAATTCTCCACCAATAGCAGTGATATTCCAAACCTTATAGGAGTTCGAAGTGCACAATAGTTTCATCAAAAAGCAGGGGGAACATGTTAATCATTTTCAAAGGAAGATATTTTGGGTATTTGACTTGAGAACCAGCACCTAGCATAAAGCAAGAATTATCACAAAAGGAGAAAACACACACAGAAGTTATTGGCATGATTACGCATAATAGGCAGTTATACATAAGTTGTAGATAGCAACAATGCAAAATTTAAATTTGCATGTGGAGATGTGAAATAATAAAAAATAAAACAACCAAAATGTAAAATGCTAAAGGCAGTTATACATAAGTCAAAGATGGCAAAATGCTAAAAATGCAAAATGCCAAATTTAACATTAGTAATGCAATCCAATTAAATCATCATGAATTGTTTTCGGTCAATTCCTATTAAATATATAAAGTAGTCACAAAGAGCATTTCATCACAAGCATAAGAAACAATCAAGCAAATGAGTTTAAAATTGTTATTAGAGTATAAGGTATCATCTTGTGCATCTACACTTTCGTCAATAACTCTAGTGATGATTGTAAGAGCATGTTGCTGATCAGGTGCAGGATGATATCTCATTTCCTCCAATTTCTTTTTCTTGTCAGCGCTGATACATGCAGGGACGGACCTATAGCCAACCCTAGGGGGGCCATGGCCCCTCCCACTTTTTTATTTTTTCATTAGTAGGATTAGTTATTTTATTATTGCCCATCCCAAATATTTTACTCCATATTTTAGACTGCTACTCCACATACATGATACCATCCACTTCTAGCATCAAGTCATTAAACATACGATTGTTTGATAGTAAGGTGTAGTAAAGCATTTGGGTATTATATTATACGGAGTATGAACAAAAACAAAGCAAATTAATTATTGCAATTTATGAACATGTATTTAAAAGTGCCTGAACATGTTCCTTGGTCAAATCATTCAACCCATTTGCCTTGGTGTTCCCACTGCCGTTGTTCACCCATGGTGTGTGCATGTGCCCCCCCCCCCCCCCCCCCCCTACTCCATGCCCGGCCAGAGCTCCGTTAGCATGGTTTCTCTCGTCCCACCACTCCGGGTAGCCATGCAATTTAAAACACGCCCCAACCCCGTGACCCTTTTGTTTGCAATGAGTACACACGAGCTTAGTCTTGTCAATTTTTTCTTGGCGCCCCTTCGTGATAGCGAAGGCCTGCACATCTACTGCCGCGGGTTGTTTTCCACGTGCCACTGCCCATGAGTTCTCCTCTTGGAGAAAGGCTTGATGAGCACGATCAAGATCGGGCAAAGGTGTATGCGACAAAAGGTTTGATCGCACTGTTCCAAAGATGTCATCATCAATTCCGATAAGAAATTGGTGGAGACGCCCCTCTTCACGATCGGCAACAAATTTTCCCGCAACATTACATGTACACACCCCACACGTATAAGTCTATTCAATTAATCATAAAGACTTATGAGTGCAGTATAATATGTATCTACGGAAATATTTTTGGACTGTTTGCAAGCTGCTATAGATGCCCGTAGCTGCTGCAATGTCGGCCCATTTGCAACACTAAAATGTTTCTCCAAATAAACCCACAGTGCGCGTGCCTCATCATGGAAGGGGATTGACGCCGCCACGTTGGGTTCCATGCTCCACAACAGCCAAGATACTATCATGGAATTCACAGTATACCAGTCAAGCAACCTTGCTGCCGCCGTCGGTTTCCGCTCGGTCTCGTCCACAAATACGCATTTGCGGCGCGCCTTCAAAGAGAGAGCAATAGCCCGAGACCAAGGCACATAATTGTCTCCCTTAAAGATTACATGTGTTATAATATTTCCGGGCTGATGACCAGACCCGAGATAGTACGGAGATGTCGGATCGGCCATGGAAGACGTCGAAGACCCAATGCGCTGGCGTTGCTCCGCTCTCCGTTGGCCTCACCTTTCGTCGATGCGCAGGGCTTACACCTGCGGCTCTGATACCATGATGGAGTAGGCCATATGTTTTTGGGAGTAAAACCCTTGCTTGCATTCATGCTAAATTACAATATTTATACATGTACAATTGGACCTTGAGCCCCTTAATTACATTTGAGACTAGTCTAATAAATACACAAATAATAAAGCCCATAACATAAACAATAATTTAAAAATGTCAAACGAAGTGTAAAAGTGATAGATGAGAAATGTTACATAAGATATGGAGTGAGGAGATATAATTACGTACCACAGTCCTATATAACAGGTAATTAACTCAATGTAACTTGGACGGGTAATTCAGTTGGTTCAGTAGTAGGAAATTTGGATTAACTAATTAGGTCAATGTAAGGTTGTTATACGAAAGATATGTACGAATTAAATATTATAAGCAATTGCCCATTTTCCCCGTAGAACAAATAGTCTCAAACCAAAAAAAAATCAAACCTTTTTGTCAGAATATTAATTAATTCAATCCCAAAGCATAGAGCTGTCAAAATGGGCCGAAACCCGCGGGCTGACCCATTTAAACCCATTTATTGGTGGGTTAGGGTTGAAAATTTCCGACCCATTTAGTTCGTGGGTTTCACGGGTCAACCCACGCGGGTTGTGGGTTTAAGTGGGTTGGCCCACCGGGTTGCGGGTTGGCCCGCGGGCCACTATACAAAAATATAGTTTTAAATTTTATTATCTTAAATATTATTATAATTACAAATAAAAGATTACAACCACATATTTATAAACAATATTTATTTCAATAATAATTATTCAAATAAAATGTTGAAACATACGAAGTATATTTTATGTGAAGTTCGATACAATATTTAACAATTAGTAGTCATTATTTACAAATAATTAATCAAAAGGTTTATGTAGATCTTTATTTTTATACAATGAGTATTTTTGTCGCATACCCTCTTATAGTTTTGAAATTCTCGTATAACTAGTATTTAATATTTTTTAATTAAACTTAACAAGTATTGAATTTTTAGTATTTTGATTTTTTATATTTCCTTAGTTACTACTTATCAATATAAATTTATACTTCCGGGTAATTATTTTTAATTTTTTTTGTTATATATATATTTTACATATTGGCCCACGGGCCAACCCGTTTAACCCACGGGTTAGGTGGGTTGGGTTAGGGTTGTAGAAATTCTGGCCCGTCATTAAACAGGTTGGCCCGACCCAACCCACATAGACCACAACCCGTCACGGGTCGGGTTGGGCCGGGTTGGCCCGTTTGACAGCTCTACCAAAGCACATGAATCAATTGGTTTTCATTTAACTGATGAGTTATTAGTTAATGTAGTCCATCCGTCCCACAATGAACTTCACAGTTTGACTTGTACACGTATTAAGGAAATAAACTTACCATGGGGTAAATTTTATTGTTTTGACACTGTTTCGACACTGTTTGGCACTGTTTTGACACTGTTTTGAACTGTTTGACACTGTTTTGATGTAGATTAACTTGTCATTTGAGGAAATGAGAACTTGTTTCTGGGACATCCAAAAAAGGAAAGTGAGAAGTTAATTGCGGGACGGAGGGAGTATTTGTTAACCATACTTCTTCCGTTTCTTTTTAATTGGAACGGTCAACGTTTCACGTTTGACAACACACAAGTTTGACCATTAATATCTTTTTTTTATTAGTAAAAAATTTAAAAACTTCATATTTTGAAAAATAGAATAAGAAGAATTTAACAACATTTTTTAAAATTTAATTTATAATACGGAGTAAATTAATTAATACTCCGTAAAATATAGTAAAAGCAGAATATGTGAATAATGCAAAAAGTCCAATATTACAATTAAAATAGTACGTACAACAGAGAAGGCATTTACTAGGGGTATATAAAACAGTGGACGAAGAATTTACTTAAAATTGTACTCTTTGAAAGTTAAAAAAAAAAAAAACTGATGTATGGGGGAGTAGTAATTATTTTAATTTCTATTTTCCTTTTTTCTAATTTCGTTACTGAGAGCCAACTGGTAAACGCGTACAACTTGTACTGCTTTACAATATGATAGGTTGCATTTATGAATTCCGAGTCCAATCTACCGGCAAATGGGTGGAACCTTAATGGCAGAAATAGTGGAAACCAAAAACTATGGGACTATAAATAAAACCATTCCTTCCTCTTTGCTTCCTCCTCGGATGCTTCAAAGATGCATAACCTCAGGCAGAAGGCAACGCTCTTAGGTTCCTTCGTTCTGGTCTTTCTCCCGACATTGTTGTCGGCGACAACCTTAGTGAAGAAGACCACTCAGAACCTTCACCTCCAAGCCGCCCATTCAGCATGCGAAGACACATTGTACCCAGACCTCTGCAGCTCCACCTTGACCAAAGCCCTGCCCAACCTCCACAACAGAACCATCCAGGAAATCATCGCCGCCACCGTCAATGTCACCGTCTCTGAGGTCCAAGCCTCCGCCACCAATTGCTCCAGCATTATGAAGAAGGTATTGTCAACATTTATCAAATACATAGCCCCCTTTGGCGTCAATTTTATATAGGAAGTCTGAATATGAGTCTTAGAATTTTGTACGGTATGAAATTATTAAGGATTGTTTTAAATGTAGACTTTAATTTATCCTAAGTCCTACCCGTTACATAATTAGAAGATTAGTGCGGCTTTCATCCGAAAAAAAATAAGATTAGTGCGGCTAGGTCCTCCTAAATCGCCCAACCAAAGTTCTAAGCATGTAATGCGGTTGCAATATTGTGGGAAGAAAAATATAACAATGCTATTTTCAAATTTCAAAACCTAATCAGAGCTCGTTTCATTACCATGTTTTTCGATTTATCAGGATTATCACTCAATTTTTTTTACTAAAAAACATAAATATTGATTTTGTGCGTTAAATTGTACTCGTATAATAATAAGAAAACGTAAGATTAGAATTACTTTTCTGAATGTATTGGCTGAAGTTATCGTAAAAGATCATTTTAATTATTTTCTACTATATAACTTTTTTCTTTATTTATATTAATACATACAAAATATTTAATTTTTTTCTAATAAATTAGCAGAATCAATCAATTCAGTCAAAACTTAATAAATTTAATTGATTCAGTCAATTCCTATATTACCAAAGAAGCTCTTATTTCTATTACGGAAATCTACCTAAAAGTATCCAATTTATTAAGGATTACGGGTATTATATTTATCCGATACTATTATGTGTGGATATCAGCTGCCTGAATTGGACATCCTGGAGAAGCGGGCCCTGGACGATTGCCTGGAATTACTGTCCGGCACTCGGGAAGAGCTAAAAAAGGCCATATCCGATCTCGTCAAAAACGACGCCGCTTCATCTTCCAAACACTTCACCGACTTGCAGACGCTCTTCAGTGCCGCCATGACCAACCAGGCCACGTGTCTCGACGGCTTCGCGTACAGCAAGAGAAACGTCCGCCGTTTCATCGAGAAGAGACTCCGTGAAATCGCCCGCCACGTCAGCAACTCCCTCGCGATGCTCAAGAAAATAAGGAAGAAGAAGCGGAAGTCGGCGCCGGAAAAGGAGGCGTTCCCGGAGTACGGACAAGTCAAGGGGGGGTTTCCGGGGTGGTTGACGCGGAGAGACAGGGCGTTGCTTCAAGCGCCGGTGGGCAGCACTACGGAAGCTAATTTGACCGTCGCTAAGGACGGGACCGGGAATTTCAAGACGATTAATGAAGCGTTGAGCGCAGCGCCGAATTCGAGCACGACGAGGTTCGTCATATACATTAAAGCAGGGGGGTACTTCGAGAATGTTGAGGTGGAAAGGAAGAAGACTAATATAATGTTCCTCGGAGATGGGATCGGAAAGACGGTCATCAAAGGAAACCGGAGCGTCGTCGACGGCTGGACTACTTTCCGTTCCGCCACCGTTGGTAATGTTCTTTACTTTACTTTTTTTTTTCATTTACCGTTAGTGAGTGATAAGGAGTTTAATGCACGGGCCGTCGGGCCTAACCTAAAAGTATATCAAACTCCATGGGAAAAATGGTGTGTTCACATACAATTGGTTTTAGTTTTGTGAAAAAAATTGGTTTGCTCCGTTAAGATCTGAGGTTCCATACTAAAAGGTCAACCTGATAGGAGGAGTAACTTATGTCTTAATATAGCACTTCGTTGACTCAAACATTTTTTGTGTGGAATTTAACACCCCTCCTCACGACCAAATTCTTTGTCTGGATCGTGTCGTCATTCATTTTTTTCGTCAAGTCATCATTGTCATTTTTTTATAACCGTGTCAATCATTTTTCATAAGAAGGCACACATCATAGATTGATTTGGTTCCGATACCATGTTAAGATCTGAGGTTCCATCCTAAAAGGTCAACCTGATAGGAAGAGTAACTTATGTCTTAATGTAGCACTTCGTTAACTCAAACATTTTCGGCGTGGGATTTAACATGGGCAATGACTATTTCTTGGAAAATTGAGTGCAAAATAATTTCTGTACATAGACAATTCGGACTAGCGTGTACAACAATGTGTACAAAAAAGTGTTGATTAGTGTGTTTGATCTGATCTGATTTGTTTAATTCTAGCAAGGTGTGGTCAAATCTGATATGATCTAATCTGTTAGATCTCTCTTTTATGCATATTTATTAATGTCAAAGTCTAATAACTTGTGGTTTGGTTTGCTCTAATGTGATTTGGTTAGATATACGGTAGTTTAGAAATCATGCATATAAGCGTTAGCTATAGTCAAAACAATTACATTACTTAAATTTGGCGTTATGTCTAAGTTCGGAGTATTCATAAGACGTTTTGATTCGAAAACAACTCTTTTTTATCACAATATAATCAGGGACGGACTGTAGTACAGATTCAGGGGCTACCGCCCCTTAACAAGAATTTTTTTGTATATATATATATATATATATATATATATATATATATATATATATATATATATATATATATATGAAAAATAATTTTCTCCCTCCCAAAATATATTTTGAACCCCTCAAAAAATATTTTCGCCTTTTCAAGATGACTTTCCTGAATATAGCACGAATGATAATCACAAGTCATTACACAAAAAACTTCAATTGGGATCATTTTTTAAGTCAGATCACCTAATGTATATCATCACTTCTTAAACCATACATCATCATTTTTTTTTGAACGAAACCATACATCATCATAGGACCCATTTTTTCTCATATTATTACGTACTTCTTTATTCCTCCGCGAGCATGAAGTGATTTTATTGGGTCATGTATTACAATTGTAAGAACATACATCTCAATCATGGAGTTGACGTATATACATCACAAATAATTAAAATGTTAAAGTCAAAGAGCCTTACATACCAAATATGATGCGATACGTTTAAAATAGGATTTTGTGTCAATTTTGTCATGATCCTCAATGGGACAGATCCACGTTATATTTTTATTATAAAAAACCATTAACACATACACGACAACATTTAAATCTCTTGCATTCTAAATTTAGACAATGAAAAAGCTACTTTGATTTTATAATTGAAGTGGCCTAGAAAAAAGTACATTACATTGAAGCGTAACAAATGACAAATCAAAGGAAACTTATTTGAAAATAAAAAAAGATATATAACATTTTATCAAATTATTTTAAGATAAAGAGTTTAAAAGGTATATATTCACCAATACTTTTTAAAAAACTTCTGACTTGTTTAACCACATGAATGTTATCAAAATAAAGAAAGAATTAATTTTTGAATTGTAATTTTTGTCTGTCAAGGATGGTGTTCATGAGTCACATGTAGTTTTCTTAATATTACAATAGCATGTATAAGATTATTATTTATAGAATGATATTATATTGCTAATTCATATATATATATATGACACATTATATTTGTACTAATGCTAAAATAAGTTGATTTATATTATTTATGCAATAAATTGTTTTTAGAAAGTAAGAAGTAAATGAATAGTATAGTTTAATGCAAATGGCCATTTATGTTATGGATTTACTTCACATGATCTAAAAAATATTTAACTAGCGTGTATGGTATTTAATATCGTTTAATGTTTTACAAAATTGAGTACTAATTATCTAATAAAGATAATTAAATATTACAAAATTAGGAATTTTTATATAATATCCTAATTATGTCTTAAACATTGAGTTGTTCTATTTCTTATTTGTTTAAGTTATGTAATTTGTTTAGATGTTTCTTCTTCTAAGTCTCTAATTAAGTATTACATAATCTAGAACTATATATTAATTTTGAAAGCTAAAAGTTAAGGAGGGCGAACACATACATATTTATTTAGAGTATGAAATTTTTTATGAAAATATCATATATAGTTAAAAAATTAAAATTCCAAGGGGGCGGTTGCCCCCGCGCCCCCTTAAATCCACCTGATCCGGAAAGTGATTTTGCAAGTGCTAAAAAGGCTATAAGAATAGTGCATTCGTGATTTTGTTCAGTTTAATATTTTCTTATGTTTTATATTCGGGAAAATCGCACTTTTGGTCCTTAATTAGTCATCATATTGAAATGTTAGACCCGTGTTTTTTTGGATCGTAACTCTCACTTCCTAATGAGCAGATGTAATGTAAATGTCATTGTCCGATGAATTTATTGGTAGTCTAGTACTGGAGATGAATTATAAACGGCGGGAATGATATTTACAACAAACAGTTAAGTTAGAGGTAATATTTACTGATTTACAATCTGAGAAACATATGTCTGACATTTCAATATGATGCCTAATTGAGGGATAAAAAGTATGATTTTCCAAATCATAAGAGAAAACGAAAAGAATTGTTGGAAACCAACAAAATCTTGTCTCTCCAAATCTAAATACTCCGGTAGGCCGGGCATGGATGCAAATAAATGTGTCCCTTAGCAAATGCGAAGTATAGGTTACCTTACCTACTAGTATGCGTTTCATTAAATAGATCGTTTCAATGGAATTAACTAATGAGCATGTGACATGCTGGGTAGTACGAGCCATGAGCTCATGAGTTGATTTACACAAGGGTTATAGAGGGTGAGAGGATGTGAATTAGAGTCCTTTTAGTAACATTAAAATTGATTACTAAAATTGGTTGAATCGATTGTTTTATTGAAACTTATGAAATTCTGGCTTGAGTTACAGAATTCCTGATTCTGCTAATCCATGAAATCCCTCATGGCCTATTCTACCCTTCAAAGTTTTCAACTTGTAAGTTTTCAACTTGTAATAGCATGACTAAATAAGTCATGTTTTGGAATAAAACATATTTAATCATATTTTTGAATTTCGAGTATGTTTTAGTCCAAACATTTTCTATGTAAAAAAATAATTGGTTGCATAATAGTTGCATTACAAAACAATTTTCACTCCCTATCCTTGTCTCTTGATTCTGTTGTCTCTTGATTCTGTTCTTCTGTTGTGGTTTGTGAAACATAATACTCGTAAAAGAATACGGGACTTGTATTTGAGCAATTAAAATCATCTTAACAAAAATGGTTGAATAGCTTTGCTTTGAATCATTTGATTGGGTCGCTCATTATAATAAGAAGGGGAGAACTATTAAATAAGTCATCGAACTTTCATAAAAAGTGCAAATAAGCCCTTTTATCGGAGACTTTGTCCGGCTGTCGCCATTTGGGGCGGTTTCCGGTGGAGTTTTTTAATGAAATTTTTGAGCATCTTCTTCAATAAGTCTAGTTTACCCATACCAAATTTCAGCTAAAAATTCAATCGAGAAGGCAATCAAATAATTTTCTGAAGTATATTGTGCTGCCTAACTGCGCAGTTATCTTAAAAAATTCATTTGACTGTCTCCTCGATTGAATTTTTAGCTAAAATTTGGTATGAGTAAACTAGACTTAATGAAGAAGATGCTAAAAAAATTACATCAAAAAATTCTAGCGGAAATCGCCCCAAATGGCGACGGCTGGACAGAGTCTCCTATACAAGGGTTTATTTTCATTTTTTATGAAAGTTCGAGGGCTTATTTGGTAGTTCTCCCTAATTAGAGTACTCCCTCCATCCCACTTCAAGGTTCCCACGTGATTTGCGATGTTTACTGTTAACTTATCTGTGTTATTAATAAGATTATTTTTAGTAAATAGAATTTACATATTAAGAAACTACATTAAAACCGTTACAAAGCCTAATCAAGCAAAATTAAATTTAATAAAAGTTGGATATATAAATTAAAAGATCAAAGAACAAGAGACCTTAACCGAAGAAGTTTAGGATGAATTAGTGAAGTAGGTGAGAAGGTGTTAAAATTATCGTACCACAGAAAATAGTGCCCAGAGCTGTTCGTGTCGGTGTGAAGTAGTGACAAGATGGCACTTGCATGCACAGTCTACATGTGTCTTTATTTGTTTGTTTTTTCAAAGATGCGAAAATAGACTCCAACAAGAAAACTGTTCCAAATACAGTAATAAACATACGAGTAGATAAAATATAAAAAGAAAAATAATTACTCCCCCCTCGCGAAAAGTTGGCCAAATTTCTTTTTTTGTATGTCTCAAAAAGATTTGTCATTTCCATTTATAGTAAAGAATATGTAGTTAAAATTAATTCTCTCATTTGCACAAATTTCAACCACACAGATTTTACTTTATTAATCTACGTGAAAGTCAATTTTGGTCAATCTTTTCAGGACGGAGGGAGTATATCACATTCTGAAATCTATTAGAAAGTACTCCGTGTAAAATCTTCCTTATTAGATGTGAATAAGTCTTACTTTTAAAAATAATACAACTATTATTCTATTTGTGCATTTTATACAAGTACATTTTAATCTAATTGTTTAATGTATTTTGTCTTTTTAAACGCATTTTGTACATCGCCCAAATCCGTGGAAGATGAATGTTCATATTATACGGTCATGCATCATGCTTGACAGATTGACAGCCATGCCTCTAAATGGAGTAATATTTATGACTCCAATTTTTCCCGAAAATTATCTTGAATATGAATAAAACACTCCTAAAATGTTAAAATATGACTTTTAATAATAAAATCCTATTTCATTTATAATAAATACGGAGTACATCAAAATAATAAAAATAATATAATTTATGATAAAATCTTAAAAAAATAAAAAAAGAACAAAGAAATTAGAAAATTAATTATTTGTAATAATCACGGATTTACTTTCAAATAATGTTTTACAAAACATATAATTACATATTAATGAGTAAAATAAAAATTGTATTAAAAATGTGACCTTTAGTATTTAATGTAAAAAAAACTTTAGTAAATTTTGTTGGAGACATGTTCTCATAACCTCATAGTCTAATATAGTGAGTAACCATTTGCAGCTGCGGTGGGGAATGGATTTCTAGCAAAAGGCATAACCTTCGAGAATTACGCCGGACCGGAGAAGCACCAGGCAGTGGCGGTCCGGACAGGCTCCGACCAGTCAGCCTTCTTCAACTGCAGCTTCGTTGCATACCAAGACACCCTCTATGTCCACTCCCTCCGCCAGTTCTACCGAGATTGCGACATATACGGCACTGTCGATTTCATCTTCGGCAATGCTGCCGTTGTCTTCCAGAACTGCAACCTCTACGCCCGCAAACCCATGGATAACCAGAAGAACATCTTCACCGCCCAAGGCAGAGATGACCCGAACCAGAACACCGGGATTTCGATCTTGAACTCCAAAGTGGCTGCTGCCGCTGACCTGATCCCGGTTCTGTCAACGATCAAGAGCTACCTTGGCCGGCCGTGGAAAGAGTATTCCAGGACGGTTTTTATGCTGTCGAACATCGAAAGCGTGATCGACCCGGCCGGTTGGTTGGAGTGGAATGGGACGTTCGCGCTCAGCACTTTGTACTATGGAGAGTATAAGAACAGAGGAGCGGGTTCGAACACGAGTGCGAGAGTGAGTTGGCCCGGTTATAGAATCCTCAACACGTCCGAGGCAACTCAGTTCACTGTTGGGAACTTCATTGTGGGACAAGATTGGCTTCCCGCAACTGGTTTCCCATTTTTTGTCAATTTGACTGCATCGTAGGGGTGCCTGCTGCCTTGCTCAAATATTGTTCGCCCACTTTTTGTGTTTTTTCGGAATAAGATTCATCAAGATAAATTCAAGGTTTCTAATTCTTGCTAAAAAAATTACCGTAGTACTACATACCCTCTTGGCTGCTCTAGAAACACTTCCATTCAAAAAGGCTGACTTCACATCAAAATGATACATGCTCCCCTTGTAATGGGCAGCAATAACAATAATAGTTCTAATACTTTCAAATCTAGCTACTAGGGAAAATGTTTCCTCAAAGTCAATTCCCTCTTTTTGCATGTATCCATATCCATGGGCCAACACTCTTGCTTTGTGTTTCCCAATTGAGCCATCAAATTTGAGTTTGAGTTTATAAACCCATTTCAAACCAAACCACCTTCTAGCCTTTAGGTAGTTCAACTAACTCCCACGCTAGATTTCTTTCCAAGGTTGCATCCATTGTAGAAAATACATCCATTGCAGTGACCCATTCCTTTGAACCTACAACATCTTCAAAGCAATTTGGCTCTTCAACTTGAGCAAGTAAACTCCTTTCTATTCTTTGATTTGATAGACTTCGAGCAAGGAACCCCGTTTTCTTGGAGGCGTAGAAGATCTACTTGATGATGTGCTACCTATAGAACTAAGAGCATTTGTTGGAGTCAAATTTGTTGGACTAGATGTTAAAGACTCTGAAATCTACATCAGCAAGAGTTTCTTGTGTCTCCATTTCCTTATTTTGAAAAAAAAATCTGGACCGCCCTGTATCTCATCCCAATTCCATGCATTTTTCTCATCAAATAAAGAAAGAATCACGTGTGGCTAATGATAAGTTTTTTAGCAACTGGATCAAAAAAACGATAGCCTTTGGTATTAAGACTATAACCCACAAAGATGCATTTAACGCTGTTATCGTCCAGTTTTCTCCGTTGTTGTGATGGAGTATGAACATACGAGATGCATCAAAGAACTTTAAAATGGGTTAGCTTAGGTTTCCAACCATTCCATGTCTCAAATGGTGTTATATTTTGCAATGCGATGCTGTTGTTGGGCTTCTGTATGTTTAGGATATAGGCTGTTGTGTATACTGTTTCAGCCCATAGGTACTTTAATTTGGAAGACATTTTGCTTTCAGCATGCACTTTGCCATCTTGACAACACTCATGTTCTTCCTTTCCCAAACTCTGTTTTGGTGGGGTGTATAGCTTGTTGTTAGTTGCCCCCAAACTCCACAATCTTCACAGAATTTGGTGAAAGCATTTGACAAAAAAACAATACTTCCTCCGTTCCTAAATAAACTTCCAACTTTCTTTTTTCGTCCGTTCTAATTAAAACTTTCATTTTCTCTTTTTAGTAAAGAATTTATAGTTCACAACATTTCTTACACATTTCTCTCTCCTCTACACAATTCTCCACTACACAATATCCACTATCTTAAACTGTGTGTCAAACCTATTTGGAAGTTTTAATAGGAACGGAGGGAGTATATTTTTAAGGAAAAAAGGGTCAAATAAACCCGTATAAACCCGTATGCTATTGCAAAAAATCGTCTAAGCCCGTACACTAAAAAAACATCACAGAAGTACATTTACTATTAAAAAACAGTCATATAAATCAACCGACCAGAATACAACTATAGCAGTTTATTCTCATTTTTTCCTTTTTCTTTCTTTCTCAGATCAACCATGGCCTATCTTGCATTTGCTATCTTTATTTAATTTTGTCTTTTTCTTCATCCTATCATTTCATGTTTCAGGTTTGTATTTTTAGTTTTTTCTTCTTTTTAATTTCCCTTGTTTTCTTTTTTATTTGCTGTCTTCTCCCAAGAAGTATGTTCTGACATTTCGTTGGGATGATTTCAATAAATTATTATGATTAAAATAAGACTTTTACAAAAATGTGACTAGTGACTATAATATTAATGAAGGTAATTTATATTTATTTTTTAAACTTAAGTTACCATGACACTACATCGTAAGTACTATAATATTTATACTATTAGTCATATTTGTGTAAATAAGTTTTATTTTAGTAATATTTTTGAAAACCTCCTCATAATATACTCATTCTTGGAAAAAAAGAAGGAAGCCAATTGTTAATAAAGATTCTTTTATTTTGAGAGAAATTGCATTTTTAAGCCCCATATATTGCCCATATTGAAATAATATTTTACTATTAAAATTGAATTAACACCGACAAGATATACGAAGTATATGGTAATTTTGTGATTTTGACACGCTTAAGCTTGTAACTTTAAACATAGTAAAAAATGGGAGAATTCCTGTAATAGGAGTAAAAATGTTTGATAATTCCAAAACAAGACTGTCATATTTTTATTGCCTAAATATGAAAAATAACTATCAAGTTCGGAAAATACTGTCATGTTTGAAGTCTTGTAATATCAAAACATGACAGCAATTACTCCTATTTAGGTAATAAAAACATGATTCATATTTTTTACCACGTGGTCTCCGCCAGCTCCCTCATGATGCGAGGGTTCCTTCTAGCTTCCAGGGGAATCAGGTCAGTGATATCCCCGTTGTCTTCGCGGCTCGCGGCTCGCGGCTCCACAGGCTACTGGGCTGGCCACCAGTTGCCAGGGTGCGGGTTCTCCTGCTGCTCACCAGCTGTTCGGAGAGGTCATGGGTTCGTCCAGAGTTGTTTATTGCCATCTCGTTTGCTTAGAAAGTTCTTACGGAGCTGTTTTTGGTGAGCTTGTTTTGGAAATACTTTTTGATCAGTTTCCCACAGACAGCGCCCGTGTTGAGGTTTATTCCTTCAACCGAAAGGCCCAACACATTTCCTATGAGTTTCGGGTGGAGAGTTTTATGAATGTATGATGCAAGCAAGTAAGATGGGTCAATAGCAAGAGTAGTAAGTGGGTCGTATCTTATTAAATGATAACAAGGGTCCATATACAACGTACTTCAACTGCAAGTCGAGAGGTCGTTCGTCTATCTCAATCCTAAGAGCTAAGATAATTGCTATTTTCTAGGGAGAATAAGTTGACAACCTCTTACAATGAAATAAATGTTACTATTTATAATACCATGGGGTAGATGATGATGCTAATGTGGAGGATGGTGGTTGGATGGCTTCCCAACCACCCAATCTCTTGCATTAAATGCGATTCCCGCCAATATCTTGCTTTCCCGCCATAAAAATGGACGAGCGTCTTGATGAGCTTAGATCGAGATCCTTGATGGGCCAAGGATGTGGTCTCATTCATATTCCATGGGTCGAAGACACAAAACTTTCTCGGTGTAATTGGATTGATGGATGAAAATTTCATTCTTCAAATGCTCAATTTGAAGTCCGAGACAAAAATTGGTTCTCTCGAGATTTTTCATTAAATCACAAGTCATTGTATGGATTAAAACAATCTGAACGAATGTGGTATAATCGTCTCGTTGAATACCATTAGACGATCAAATTAGTCCATGTGTTTTCATTCGACGATCAAATTCTGGATTCTTCATAATTGCAGCACGAGGATCTCGCAATATTACTTGCCCTTGTTAGACCCAAGAATCTTAGGACGAGCGTCGTCTTCTCCGAGGTCCACCCAAGATGGGCCTTGATAGTTCTCATGTTATGGGATAATGGGCTGACCTGCTATCAGGTCTATTAACGCAACAAAGTCGGTACAAATGTTGTGATATTCACAATTTTATTCAAATAAATCATGTAAAAATATAAATGCAATTTGCTATTGTTATCACCAAATATCTTTTCATATATACAGGTAAAGTACAAAACATAACAAATGCAAATACGTCATATTAGCTAACTTTGTCATAATATGATCGAATGTATGAAATGTGTACATAGTACTCTGTTCACGTACTGCTACGCTTCCCTACTGTTTTTCTTCTGTTAGATGGGCCGCAGTGTTAGTTTGGGCTGGACTATAATAACAATAATTATTATTTTTAATAACGAACACTAATCATTTTGATAATGATAATTGGGTTAGGATAATTAGATTGATATTATTCACTTTGTCACTTTTAATTGGGATAATTTTATAAAATAAATAGCAAATTAATAGACTGATTATTTAATCAAAATAATAAACCGAATGTTTGTGTCAATTATTAATAATTGATATGGATGATTTATATTTTCTTATTTGGATTAATTTATAGACTAATGATTGTTAATAGAGGGAGTAGTTAACTATATTGGACCGGATTATGTGATAGAAATACATTCATTTGAGGTTTCAAGAATAAAGTTGTAAGACTAATAAAAGTGACTAATTAATGGTTAAGATCGATTCGAAAGAATTCATAAATATATATATATATATATATATATATATATATGTATGTATGTATGTATGTATGTATGTATGTATGTATGTATGTATGTATGTATGTATGTATGTATGTATGTATGTATGTATGTATGTATGTATGTATGTATGTATGTATGTATGTATGTATGTATGTATGTATGTATGTATGTATGTATGTGTCACGCCCCGGACCGCATCCGAGCCACGTAGACAACCGCCGTACAACCCGATAGGAACAACAACAGTTCATCCCTATTGGATTGTACAAGGCGTCCGATTGATTCTATTGCCAAACCGATTAGTAAACACATACAATCAACATCAATATCATAATTAAACAAATGCGGAATAATAAAATGTTTGATACTTAGCCACACGTGGCAAACACGGGCACGCAGGCCCCCAACTGTTTTAATGAAAATATTGTTCAAAAATCCATGAGCGGTTTATACATTTGAAATAAGAATGGAAGCACGAACCACGTCTTCCTTCTCGATCAGACACCCTAGGCAAAGGTGCAGGTAGTAGGACTCTAGCCTCAACCTGAAAAATGTGAGGGCCCCCGGAGGGGTCAGTACTCCATAGAAGTACTAGTGACAAGCAGGCTATATGAAGAATAACTAATGTTTCAGACACGAGACCCAAAGATAGGGTGATATATACATATAGATGTCCCTCATCCACCCGATGATACATACTGTATATATACTCGTAAAATACTCAACCCGTAGGTCATTTACCTTAAAGAGTCTTTTAGAGATAAAGTTCTTACCTGACTTTTCTCACTCCTTTCCCGGTTACCTAGCTCACAAGCTATA